TGAAAAGTTACATTCTGAGATGAACCTCATGCAGTCTTCTGGCGCGATGGTTATGACTGGTCTCAGAAAGAGGCAGTCAGGACTAACATCCAGCTCAACCCATCTTGGTCTATGCGATTTATGGATGGGTCCTTTGGAGTCTTTAACAAAATTATGTGCTTCGCAGTCTGTAATCTGCCTGCCTCTTTCTATTGCCCTAACAATGGTTTGAAGTTATGGAGCAGAAAACAATAAACGCAGCTTACAAAACAGCTCAGTAGTATTAGCAAAATCCAAACCCTGGCCTGGATAAGAGAGCAGTGCCAAACTACTGGAGCATCATCCGAAGCATCCACTGTGAAAGCATACACCTGTTTACAGACATGTTAATATTAACAAAAAAGGATGCTAGGTGCATCTTCATGCTTAAAAAAAATACCTGCCAGTGTATTTTAAATGGCTTGAGTTCTGTAGCCAAAGCAGAAAATTTATTCATACGCCGTTTCCAGAGCTGTGAAATGCAAAGAAAAAGAAACTTACTGATCTACAGATTGACACTAAAAATGATGGATGCAGTTTGTAATTATGTCGTGTTGCTGAGCTTATTCCATGGCTGTAGTGTGTTTGTGTCTACTGCAAAATAACTGAGCAACTCACCTGAATGTGGATGATTTCCTATAGAACACGTAGTTAATGCCATCCTATACTAAGCCTTGCTAATAATATAAACAGCACTAACATAAGGATTATCAAAAATACTAGCAATTATCTTGGACTTCATTAATTTAACAGGTTCTAAAAAAATATTTAAGCACTATTGCTGCCTGTTTTGTAACACAGGACTGAAGCGATCAACTATTCTTAGTTATTACTATTCAGATGCTGTCTGCATCTGAGCTGCTCTGGTGGGGAGATATGGCCACAATTAGCACAAAGTTCCACTCCAGGCAATTAACTCCAGATTTATGCTACATTTGCAATTTTTTTTATTTTTTTTTTCAGTTATTCATGCCTCTATTTCATTTAAAGAAAATAAAAATTAAATCTCCTGAAAATTAGTAACTCCTGAAGCCACTCCATCAGCTGACACAGTTCGATCTTCCCTGCGAAGGAAGGCGATTTGTGCAGCCATCGATTTTAATTGCACAGTGAATGCAATTTGTTCCCTTTTCCTGCTGGTTATCGGTATAAAATTAAAAGTTAGAGGGCTAAAGGAAGAGAAGCCCGTTAAGCCGTAGGTTAATTAATCCCACAGATAAAGCCTTGTTCATGAATCAGCAAAGTTTGCTCATCGTGGACACCCATGGCAGAGCTGGGGCTGTGTGGGCTGTACAGTGACTTTCAACCCATCCATTCTGTGATCCTATGATCACATGAACACTCTGGGGGCAATGGTGCTGGCTGCCATGCTTTCTTAGGGAAGGCAGTGTGAATCTCTGCTTCTGTCTGTCTGTCCATCTGTCACTTCAGCTCCCAGTGCTGACGCTGGTCAATAACAACCAAGGCTGACAACAAGGCAGCACTCCCAGGGACAGGCTCTCCCTGGGAAATCTATGGAAATCCTAGGGAGATAAAGAGCTGCTGTGAATATTAGTCGTGCTTTTGTGCCTTCATCATACTGGAGAGCTAGGATAGGCGAGAGATCGCCAACGGAGAGTGTAGTTCTGGTCTTCTCTATGGCAGAAACCCTCACTTAAGTTCTTCTGTTCATCTGAGCATTTGTAAAATCTCTCTGCTGGGTCAGAATATAATATGGGATAAGTCCACTGCTGCATGTTAAAGATAAAAATAAAAAAGAATTAAAACAAAACAAACAAACAAAAAAAACACATTTGAAGTGCTATCCACCTCAATTCTCACAAATCCAGAAGAAGATAATTATCCTCAGCTCTGCTGCTCACAAAACTATTTTGGAAGTGCTGGAAGTGTTTCCGCCTTGCAGACATGCACAGTTCCTCCTGCAGCCATGTGTGGACACTTAATTCTACCTGCAGACTAAATAAAGTGCTGCCAGAAGGTTTATTCTGTATAATAAGAGACCTGCCCTGCCATAGAGTCAGGATGTGCTCTCCAAGGATTTTTCCTATTATTCCTTACGTGGATGAGTGAGGCAACACAGATTGGATATAATCAAATAAACAAATCCAGACAGTGTGACTATATGCCACCGAAAGCCAAAAGACACTAAACAGCTCTGTGATTTCAGACGAAACAACTCCAGAGCTTAAAAACTATTTTCCATGTGTATTAGCTTTGAAATAAAAAGAACATGATCAGCTCAGGTGTTACGGGCTTGTAGGGTCTGGAGATGGTCATTGGAGGTCACAGAATCACAAAACCAATTAATTATTAAGGCTGGAGAAGACCTCAAGGTCCCCAAGCTCAATACCAACCCACCCCACTATGCCCACTGGCCATGTCCCCATGTGGCACATCTCCATGGTTCTGGAGCACTCCCAGGGATGGTGAGCCCACCACCTCCAAGGGGAGCCTGTGTTACTGCATCACTGCTCTCTTGGAGAATAAATTTTTGATGGCTGCTTACACAGTACGTTGTCTTGGTTGCAGGGATAGTGGCAGCCCTGTGTAACTGAGTGAAAAATAAATCCCTGGCAGTGGTCGATTTTCATTCACATCATCATTCAAAGAAACAACTTGATCAGTTTTCCAAATGGTCTGATAGTGAAATCCATCACTGCTGCACAACTGTTTCAATATGTTGTCATGAGAAACAAAAGAGATTTATTAAAGGGGTGATTGAGAAGACACTTCTGAAATTAAAACAAAACAAAACCACACACGTTTGCAGTACAGATCACTTCATGAAACACCTGCCTGGGAACTCAAAAATTCAATCTAAATACTTCAGAGCAAAAGAAATGCATGGTCCATATTTATCATCTCGTACCACTTGTCCACAGAAACATCCAAGCAGAAAAGCATCAGGGAGACAAATATTTCTGTTTTCTGAGCAATAAAGAATGCAAATTATTAGCAAAATGATCAGTTTTCCTCAATGCCTCAATAATTCTCAGTGGAAATGATAAGCTCAGGAACATGGATATTCCCAAGATCAGCTTCCATGGCCCAAAAGGCAGGGATGTCTCTGCTGGATCCACAGTGCTGGAGCCGAAATATTTGCTGAATATTTTCTACATCAGGGAGTCAGTATGTCCCAAAAGAAATGATTAGTTCAGTAGCTATTAGGTGTGGAAAAACACCATCAGGGGCTGTTTCTTTGCCATGGAAGCTTTGACACTGACATCCTCACCAGCAGGGGACCTTCTGTACCTGAAATCATGTCCATTGCAGCAGTTACAGAATTTTGATTGCGTGATTCCAGAGCTCGGATATTAGGAATAATTTCTTCTCCCAAGAATGGTGCTGCACTGACATAAGTTGCCCAGGGGGTGCTGGAGTCCACATCCCCTGGAGGTGTTCAGGAGCCATGGAGATGTGGCACATGGGGACACAGTCAGTGGGCATGGTGGGGTTGGTTGGGGTGGGGCTTGGGGATCCTGGAGGTCTTATCCAACCTTTGTGATTGTGTGATTCCATGGTTTTCCCTCTCTGTGACGGACAATAGCTCCTTTGTGGATTTAAATGTTCTATTCCTCCGCCCAGCCCATGTGAATGACTTGGAGATGGCCAAAGCCTTAGGAAGGAGAACAAGTGAAATCCCAAGTGCCTTCACTTCACTACCCAAGAATAGATCGTCTGGAGCTGGTGGGCAAAACCAAACCAAAGCTTAAATAAAGGCTCATGCAAAGGTGATATTTCAGGAGGCAATGCTGGCAGGAAAAGAAGGGAGATCAGGATCTAGCAAGTCCCACACCGTGGAGGCAAGCAGCAGTTCCCAAAGTCCAAAGGACTCATTCATCACCCGAGCACAGAGCTAAACTCTGACACTCAGTACCACGCAGTTATTAACAAGGCCAGAAATAAAAACTGGCGATTGCAGTTGGAGAGAATGCCAGCAGAAGGACCACTAACTACTTTTCCTTCTTTCTTCCTCTCTTTCCCCAAGAACCCGCTGCTGGGCACTGTCAGATGCAGGCCATGGTGAAGTATCTCCCTAATTCTCTCTGTCCTTCTGCTTATCCCTTTTCAGAAGAAAGGCTGCAAATGCCACTAAGGAACATGACGGATGCTTTGATCTCAAGGAAATGAACCACTCCTTGATTGCTTGCTTAGCTGAGCAATTTGCAAAGTGATAGACAGCAATTACACCACACAGTGTCAATTTGTCTCTTCATTTTTCCCTCTCTACGTTTCCTCTTCTTGATTGAATAATCACTGACAATAATCACAAGCAGCTGTGGGAAGGAAGTGCATCCATCAGCCTTAATGTCAGCAGGAACAAGAGCAGATTCCTCTGCATTCACCACAACTCTGCGTCTTCTGAGTAATTCACATTTACCTTAGAACAGTGCCAATATTCTATTTCCACTACGCACTCCTATCCCAGTTTATAATCTGAAACAACAGATTGTCAGAGGAAAACACACAACTACAAAAACAAAGAAGAAAAAAAAAAAAAAAGGTTGCTCCATCTACTATTCTGTATGAATAATTGTGAAATTATGTTTTAATTCTCCTGATACTGTTTAAACTGAAAGAAGTTAAGGCTACAGAAAATCAGCACCAGGAAGAGGGTTTACTCATCATGTAAAGAGGACAGAGCTGCCAGGAAGGTGTGAAGCAGGCGAATCCTATGGATTGCAGAGGCTTTTCAACACATGTCTGTGTACGGCTTGTTACTTCTAGGTAATAACTTACCTGTGTCCAGTATATTGTTAAGATACCAAAATACTAAATTACATCTCTTCTAGCATCTATGTCATACGACCCTGCATATACTTTTGTGTGTCTGTATACACACGTGATGCTAGGTCTGTATTCTGTAGTGCTAAGCTTTGTGAACTGATTTTGCCCAGCTGAGCTTCCATCCCACTCTGTTCAGAAACATAGAACAGTAAAACACGAGTCTGAAGGCACAAAAAGTGGCTCAGACTTTCCCATAAAACTCTTAAAGTGGTTTATTCAATAGAATCAATCATCTTTCAAACACAGTGATACAGACAAAAGAAAGTACCCTGATTACTGCTTTAGTTATGGCTTACATCAATTGATAGGCTTCCTATTACAACCATATTACAGCTACAGAAAGAAGCAAGAATTACAGGGTGGCAGTCGGAAAAAAAAAGAAAGGTGAGTCAATGGGCACAATGACATTAACATCAGCAAGAAATTGCCATGGCTCCACTGGGGTTTGTCCACCCCCGCTGTCACCACCGTACAGAAATGACAATTATGGAACAAGATTTATTTTTGCATCAGCCTGAGCTCCCTCAGCGTGAAGATGTCATTTTGATACAGCATTTCTGGGCAATTTATGAGCATCTCCATTAGCTGTAGGGAGCACAGAGTGCCCTGGTCCATCTTAACATGTACAGTTTTAGGTAGAACGCTTCGAGAACCAGCCAACACTTTGATTTTGTTGGCTTAGTTTGTTGCCATTTTACATGCTAACACATTGTACAGTGGTTGGTACAGTTAAAAACACACAGCAGCTCACCCAAAGGTCAAACACCGAGAACATTTATGGCTTCTAAAGGGAAAGTCATAGAATCATAGAATCTTCATAATTCAGAAAGACCTCTAAGATCATCTAGTCCAACTGTAAGTCAGACATATCGGCAACATATTTACAGCTTTCAATCCTTGAAATGCTGAGGCATATTAATCTTTTTGTAGGCTTGCCACTATGGCCCAGACCCCATTGCTGATGTTTCTCATGCTCAGGCGTTAGGGAACATGAGAGATGCTCAAGCCTGGGATTCAGGCTCCCTCACCCCAACACGTACGTTTGGATTTTCCTTAAGATTCATTACAAAAGCACTTGAGTACAGTTGCCTACGATTTGGGATACCATGCAAACAACACAGCAGCCTCACCCACATTAGATGGGATGACACTAAGACATAAAGTTGTAACAGCGCGTGGGGGCAGGTTGGAGATGAGGGCTATGGGCTTGACTGACAAGCATTGGACCCGTTGTCTTCCTGCTGAAGCCAAATGCACACTTCGTACTGGCCTTACTGGGAATCCTGCCTCCAACATGTTTGTATTACTGTAGAATTACATGCTGGCATTTCAAAGAAAGCAGAACAACCCCCCCTTCTCTCACGGCACGTGATACACATACACACACACAGCAGGGTGCAGGGGCTCACTGTGGTTTGGTTCATTTACACAACCATGATGAAATGTTTTGCATAGATGAATTGGAAAGGATGGAAAGTGCAGGAATCTGGAAGGGAGAGTGACATTCACGGCACTTCAGCTTCCAGATTAAGTTTGTTCTTTACACAAACCATTAAAAACACAGTGTTGCTACTGCACTGTATCTACAATATATTAAAAACGTATCAGAAACAAGTAAGAAACAAGGGCTGCTCCTTCTGCCCACAGCCTGCAGGCTGGCTCTGATGTCCTCCAAACTTCCCATGAATTTCACTGGATTTTGGAAAAGGCCCTCAACGTAAGTCCTGACTCCTTTATTCCTTGGCTCATTTCAGAAATTCCCAAAGAGAAATTTAGAGATTGCTGAATTTTGACAGCATTCCCTGTACGTGTGAAAGCTCCAAAGCTCACTGCATGCTTGGGTACAAACCAGACAGGAGGATCCCTTCCAAACTCTCATCTCACTGTCCAACCTTCTGCTCTGTAAAATTACGGCTTTGCTGACCAACCACCAGGGCTCAAAAGATTTAAAAGGATGGATTCCCTCTCATTTCACATCTCTGTGCTTTATCACCAATCAGAGACTGCTCTCTCCTGCCACACCAAAATGCAAAGGCCACCTGCCCACAGAGCTCCATCACCACAAGAATTTCTGCATTCAGCAACATCTCCATTAATTCATCAAAGCCCGCAGAAAATAATTCTATCCTTGGAAAAATATCTCTTTTCTTAGAGTTATTTGCCTCCATCCAACCACCTGGAGTTGTGGTTGCAGTCTCCCAGATTCCCTCTCTAAGGCTTTTCCTGGTGACAATGGACCTGCGGGGGCCAAAGAAGCCACCATGCCACGGCACCCCATTCACAGCACATGAGCTGGCTTTGAGCATTTTGTCTCTACCACAGGAGATACGCTAAAACATTATTATAAATCTATCACTCTTTAATCCATTCTGTCCATAGATCAAGAGCAAGCAGCTAAAGTATTTTGATTAAGTCTTCTTTTCCACTTGATGACGGCACTGGTGGCCCATAAGCTCCTCTGCTGACCTGTCGAAGAGGAGCAGGCCTAGCCACATTTTTCTGACTGAATTTGCACTGCCAATGTATGAAGATCTTAGGAACTTCTGAAGAGATTCCCATAAATACTACTAGAAGCTGGTGATTAATCCCCAGTATTGTAATTTTCTCTCTCCCTGCCTCAGATTTCATATTCTCAGCAAGACTGGGCTTACCATCTGAGCTCAGGATGAGAGCTGACGGCTTTTATTCATGGACCTCTGCATGGCTGAGACCTCCAGGCACCATCCCTATCCTCAGACCCCACTCCTGCAGGACAGCAGCAGGAATGTGGTTTTCCAGTGCCCAATGCAAAGAAGGCCAAGAACAACCTGAAAGCTTCCAAATTTCTGACAAAAATGCTGTCACTTTTCAATTATTTTTGAGCAACACCCAAAAAACAGATCAGAAAGCAAATGTTGCAGTATGCACTTCCTCTCAAGGACTTTTATATATACATTTCTTTAAGAACCTTTCTAGCTTGCAAATCACTCCCTAAATCTCATCTAATAAAGAATCATAGAATCATGAAGGTTGGAAAAGATCTTCAAGATCATCTAGTCCAACATCCACCTACTACCAACACCACCACTTCCCCACTAGATCATGTACTTCAGTACCACATATAAACAATTTTTTAACACCTTCAGGGACAGTGACTCCATCACGTCCCTGGGCAGCCCATTCCAGAACATGACAACTCTTAAGGAGAGGAAATTTTTGTTAATATCCAAACCTGAACATCCCTTAGCACAACTGGAGGCCATTCCCTTCAGACCTACCACTAAACATCGCCAGTATCTACCTATGTACACCTCCACACAGACCGCTGGGTTTGTTTCTGCAGTACCTGTACAAATAAAATACCTATCAGCTGGAATGGGAGTTCTTTCCAGATGAAAGTTGCAGGACTGGGCCTTTGGTGCATACGTGCAAGTACCCTGTACGTGCATTTTAAAATCATTAAAAAAATATAGTAGCTATAGATCTGTAATCCATCAAAATCTAAACACAGTAAAACTGCACTTATACAGTGTAGCCTCGGTGAATTTACATTGCTAATTTATATGAAGCAAACAAAGGGAAGAAAATGTCTGTGTTCCTGCAATTAGAGGTTACTGTAATTACAGCTTTACTTATCCTTTAGCCTGACCAAAAAGTCCAGAAGAAATTTTGTAACCAAACAGTGGGATTTGCTCCATTTCTTTCCAAAACGCTGAAGCTTCTCAAATGCCTTCCCATCATTCTGAAGTACCTCTTGCAATAGATCAGACTCCTTTTGTTCACTTCAATCAATACAGTGAATAAAAACTCTTACCAAAGAGCATATCCCCAGCAAAGCAGCAGCAGCAAAGCAAACCAAGTCACCATCAGACCCTCACTCAGGCAGAAATGAGGTCCATAGGTGATAGCTTCATTATGATAAAGCTCAACACACAGCAAGATGCCCAGCCCACGGGTCATGTTGCTCTCTACGTAGCACTTCTGTTACAGCATTTCATTATCAAAGCCCTTTGCACGTCGATTTACAAAACACAGCCAGGACAAAAATCTCTTTTGCTTATTAAATCAAGGGAAGCACTTCACCTATAGGTTCATTCTGGGTGCACTGTGATACAGTTCACCAACACACAGCTCTAGGACCAAAAGCACAAGACAAACACACAAAGCTGAAGCACAGGTCCTTTGCCTACCCCAGGCTGGTATTTACCAAGCTCTGACAGTTAACAGAGTGCAAAAGAAATTCAGATTCCTGCACGCCATCCCATGTCACTGCTGTATGGTCAGCAGGGACTTCCGGAATGGCAACTGCTGTGCTTCACTTCCTTTACACCATTTCAAATGTAATGTGAGCAACTTTCAGAGCTGTCAGCACAGCAGGGAGGCTTTAAAATGGCTTTGTGTGCTCACGCATTACAAAATCAAAATCCAATTCTGATTTGAACACAACCCTCAGAGGGGACAAGCACTTCAAATTCCAAATCTCTACAACCTGAAGAAGGACAAGACAAAGCACTGCACAACAGAGCAAGTGCTTCACACTGATAACACAGTTGAGGAAACTCTGTTCATCTTAACCATGCCGGCACAGTTGGACAGCAAACCTCACCCTCCTGTGCATGCAATCATACAGTATGAGAGGGCATACATCTGCACCATGGTTCAGCAGTCAAAATAAATTCTGGCAGCATGTGGCATCTGTCCTCCACCAGGATTTTGCCAAGGTAACTGCATCAGGCGGAAAACCAAGCTTGGCATGACTAAGTTACATTGGTAACATTACAAAGAATAAGTCAGCCCTTTCATTGTTCTAGTAACATTCTCAACACAAACAAATGCCACATTCAGACATCGTAATTCAAGCCATTCATATCTTCACTATCTTTTAACTTCATTTCCTGTAAGTATCTATCACAGACATCTGAAAATATTTAAATCCACCTGTACAATAGTGGATCAACACTCGAATACTCCTACAAAAGTCTTTATTAAACTTAGGAGAAATTCCTTTTCCATCTAATGCTGCAATAATTGAATCAAAAATCAACTCAGAAAATATAACTAGGGTAGCCTTCTCAATATTCAGTTCACGGAAAGCTTAAAGAAGTGGGAAGGTCTCCAATCTGAAGCTGAGATGGTCACTGTAGGAGAAAGCACAGACACTGCACATGTATTAGCAAAAAAGGAAAGATTGCAATGGGAAAGAATCTCTTATCAGCAGAGAAGACCAGGCATGATATGAAGGAATAAGAAAGAAGCTCTAGAGCAACCATACAACATGGTTAGCACAGTGACCTGTATCTGCAAGTGGGAATTGAACATTCTCTTCTATCCCAGCTGAAAGGTTTCGTAAGATGACCTTGTTTATTCCTATCACACTTATCTGCTATTTTTCACCAGTAATTTGTGACGTTACAGAACGATGACTTCAAGTTGTACAGTTACCCTTAAAACTACAAAGCAAAGAGTATTTTCAAAAACCCAAATGCCAAGAAGAGTGATTTCAGTAAAATTCGACAGTGCCCCGCAGCACTCAACTCAGAAGCCTATGTAAAGTCGTGCAGTCTATGCTGAGACTCTCCATCCCCAATTCTCCTTAAAAGCTTGGTGATCTACTCCATGTTGAAATTACAGTTATCTTTATGTGCTCTGTATATCTCTAAATCTGTTGGAGATGTGCTTCTCATCCAACCTGCTTCCCAGGGCAGTGCACATCCCAGGACAGAGGAGTTTTTCTTCACCCACACTGCTATGGACCCAACTCTGCTAGCAGGAAGGATGCTGGTCACATAGATCCTATGGGATGAATGCCTCAAGGAAATTTATATCAAACAACTATTGCATAATCTCAGGATGTACACAGGCATCGAGTTCCTGATGCACTTTTGCACCAGAGGAAGAAGTGCCCTTGTCAACAGCAGCCGCAGGTTCCCGTGTGAACCCGCAGGATCCCCTTGCTGTGCATGTGCAGAAAGTTGAAGATTTCCGAGGGCATCGCATGAAAACCAGGGCGAGGCTTCACGTTGTCATAGTAGTGGTGAGTTATAAAAATCCCTGAGGGGTTCATGGGGAAGGCCCAGAAGCCAAAGAGGTGGACCTCTTCACAGAGCTCCAGGGCAGCAGTCACCAGGATGAGTCCCGTGCTGATCCGCTTGGCCCGCACCCCTTGGCCCAGCCAGTAGCGCGAGACGTTGATGAGATACTGGGGGTGAAAGTAGTACACAGCTTGCTGAGACTCAAAGTCATCCAGGACATACTTGACCCTGATGGAGACGTCCGTGTTGCGTGTGTTATAGAAGGCCGGCAGCAGCACGGAGGCATTCTCATAAACCTGGAGCACGTTGTAGAAAGGCTTCCTCCACTTCTCCAGCTTATGAAACCTAAAGGGAAAAGGATGCAAGTGATATTCAGATCAGTACAGATCAGTTTGGACACATCAGGCTTTTATGAAGAAAATTCTGACGCAGAGGTAACTGAGATATGTTTGAATTAATGAGGAGAATATATTTAGATCTGTAGCTGAATCATCAGTACGTAATGTAAGCCAAAGACATGGGGGATATTAAAAAAACACATTCTCCCCTTCTTTTCACAATGCATTTTGACAATGCTGTCACTGAACAATGCATGGACTTTGTTAATGTCTCGTGTCTCCTTTTGTGAGTAATTTCTTCAGCTGTGTAACTCAATATGCAGAACAGGACATTACAGAAAAATGGCAAATACCAAAGCAGAGCAATAATATTTCCAGAATGCCTAACTGCAACATTTAAAAGAAAACACCAAGGCAAGAACATGGTTTTATGTTTCTCAATAAGTGAAACACATCAGCAAGGAAGGACAATAGAAATCAGTCCCACGGTCCCAAACCTGTCAGCAAGGTGGAAATAAACTATTAACAAATTAAGAATTGAAATCACTTGGTCAAACCTCATATTTAATTTGTTTGTTTGTTTGTTTAATATGGTGATATATATTACTTTACTTAAGCACTCAGGGTTGAATCCACTTAATTCCAACCTAATGAGACCAAGACACCAACCTGGGCTTGCAGCACAATGTGGGATGGCTATACTGTTAGCCTTCAGCTTCCCACTCCCTACTATCGCTGTACAGGTTTAAATGTTCAACACATTTCTTTAAGTTATTACTGTTTCCATGTACTGGATCATTTAAACTCAGAATGAAACCGAGGCTTTCAAGAACTGTGGAGATGTATCACTGGGGGCACGATGAGGATGGGCTGATGGTTGGACTCAATGGTTTTAGTGGCCTTTTTGAAACTTAATGATTCTGTGATTCACTAAGTTTCTAGTCTCAGTTCCAAGTAACACAGGGACAAAAATTCCCTTTAATAGTTGGAATTTAGTGAAAGATAGATCTGAAAACCAATAGGAGATGGAAACACAAAGAGCAGAGATGACCTCTCAGTAATGATGCTAGGATTGACAGTCACGACGTCCGTCTTCACCCCAACATCCGTTAAGTACTTCTCAGATATGGGAGGCAAATTACATCTGTAAGGGAAATAAATAAGTAAGAAATTTGAAAAATTCCTTGTACCTTTTCAGCACTAGAAAGTAGAATTTATTCAGGTTCTTCCTCTAGTCTTTTGCAGCTGTCTCCTTTTCACAAAGGTAGCCAATGTCCCTGCCCAGGGAGGTTGTGGATGCCCCGTCCTTGGACGTGTTTAAGGCCAGGTTGGACGGGGTCCTGGGCAACCTGATCTGAATGTGTATGTTTGGTGGCCCTGCTAGGCAGGGGGGTTGGAACTACATGATCCTTGGGGTCCCTTCCAACCCGGGTGATTCTGTGATTCTGTGTGATTCTGTAATGTTCATCCATTTGCATCTCTAGCAGCAGTTTGGCTATTTACTTTGGCGATTAAGGAGCAGAACTGGGGCAAAGCCCCCAAGACAATCACCCTCTAACACCACAGATTTCCTCAGTAACAGCTCTGCTGTATTCCATAATTAATACACAAACTGTATCTGTAATGTTGTGATTTATTTTATACCCTAGAGAATTTAGGGGAAATGTTCCACAAGAAAGACATCAGGCCAATTTCTAACTAATCCCAAACAACCTGCTTCCCTCCCTTTTCCCCTTCAGGTAGCTCCCAGCACTCTGTAAGAGCAGCAATTCTGACTGTACAGATTTGACAAAGGACGTATTAGGAGCAAACCTGGAGATGTGGCATATGGGGACATGGTTAGTAGGCATGGTGGGGATGGGCCACAATTGGACTCGGTGATCTTAGAGGTCTTTTCCAACCTTAATGATTCTGTGATTCTAAGATCTGAAGACTTTCACCTTGTCCAGCCTCCACTGGCATTGACCCAGATTCATCATCTTGCAAAATTCAGAGCATCTCTCAAGAGATGCTGAAGTTACACAAGCACACTCATACAAGCTCCACTTCCATTGGAAACTCCACTTAAAAAATAAAACAAACAGCATCATGCTTTATCAGAGACAACACAGTCATTCTTTCAGCTGTCTTACACTCAGCTACATTCAATACATTTGACAGCCAGGGCTGTGTAGAAGAAAATAATGAAAGAATTCAGCAGAAGCAATGTTAAGAATTTTCACAACATTACAGTGCAGTTGCCAGCTCTAAAAACGTATTTTCTTCTTCACTTGTGAGCGAAAAAATGGACAAAAATCCTTCAAAGTCCTTCTCAGATTTAGGAAACTCACATCTACCTCTTGGAGAGTCTTCCTTTATCAGATCAGGCAGCTTTTTACACCACCCTCTCATGGGAGATGTTATTTCCAGCAGTTTTCTCTATGAGGACATACAGCATCCTTCTGGAGCCCTCTGCCATCCTCAACTCCAGCCAGTACTGTATTCATTAGATTATATTTGAAAAACATTTTAAATATTCAGCTCCAATATTTTTAAACAGTCAACGCAAAGCAGGATTAAGAAAGTTCAATTTTTTGACAGTGATAATTCCTTATAAGAGCTATACAGTGGGCTGTGGTTGGATTTGGGGATCTTGGAGGTCCTTTTCAAGCTTAATGATTCTCTGATACTATGTTTTGTAAAACTTCATCTCGCCCAACCCATCTTATAAAATTCAGAGCATCCCTCAAGACATGCTGAAGTTACTGAAACACACTCACACCAGATTCACTTCCACTGGAAACTCCACTTAAAAAATAAATTCTACAACTCCAGAAACTCACCCCTGCAAAGGGAACAGTCACATCCCAGCATGCACTCAGAATCACACCTCTTGTTATCAGAGATCTCTGCTCTTGCCAGTAGATGGAGACAGACCATAGCAACTGGTGAATGCAACTGCTGTGTGCGCATTTTGTGCGTTCCACTGCACTGTAGCTCCCAGCTATCAAAATCCATTCTATAGTAAAATACTGGTTGCATCCCACTGACCACAAGGTCCTTGACAATACAATGACTTTCCCAGGTGTCCTGGAGGTTCTGTGAAATGCTAGCAGTGCTCCATAGGCAGTTTTTGACATTTTGTTACTGACAAAGATGGTGATTCCCAGCAGTCTTGTAAAGTGGTGCTAGACTGATCTGATCACACCTCTCTATAAACATAATTGTATTTTAAAATCGATGTCAGCAGAGTGTAAGCTCCTTTAACATGGCTTTATGTGTAATTCTGGTCACAGATATTTTGAAGATGGCAAACCAGTGGTTTTTTGGTTTTTTTTTTGCATAAGTAGCAATATGCTTATTCATATCTCATTTCTACTCAAGTCTCTATTTAACAAATTACAAACAGCAGAAGCAATCCAGTTCCAACTCCTACGCTGTGCACTGCTCTGTTCTTTTTATGAGGGTGTGATCCAGGAAAGAGTCACAGTGGTAAGAAGAGACCTCCACTGAAAGTTCTTGTGCACAAGAGATGACATCTGCTGCCTGCATTTCCACTTCCATTCAATAGTTTGTCACCTTGAGGCATAACATCTGCCTTCAAATCAATCATACGGCGATACAACACAGAAGAAAAGAATCTGCTACACTTACATTGTATGCACTGTACAATAGCCCTTTAAACTGAAGGAAATGTGAAGCCTAGATTATTTCACAGATTAAAATTAGGACAACAGATTAATGTAGAGTGGGCACAAGACATAAGGGTCTGAAAATAATGGATAGTGAATGTAAGACCTCTACATCATCACTTTTCATTTGATGTCAAGTTTAGAATGACTTGAGTTTAGAATAGACTTGCATTTAAACTGATTTTTGATGGTATAAAACTGGAGAAATTCACTGATTTAAGAACACTTATTTTAAACTTAGGAAAATGTACCTGAAGTCAGAAAATGGGCCAAGAGAAGTCAACTGATATTCTTTTCTATAAAGCAGGTCATGGATCTGTGAACTAGCTGTCATGTGCCATGACCCAGACAGAGAGCTTAGCAGGATACAGAGAGGGATTAGAAGTGCTTAAGAATAATAAAAGTAACCCTCCTTCATATTAAGGATGATGAAAATACACAAGACATTGTGCCTGGGCAAATGTCCGTGCAAGGATCTACTTGGGTAACTGGGCAAGAGGGACAAGGACATCAAATGCTGCCAGTAAGTCAGTTAGTGTTCACATGGAGTTAGAAAGAAATAACACCTCAAATCTTAAGTTTAAAACAAATATTATACAGGGAAGTTTTTCTTTAAAATATCACCATGTTGTGCAAGAAGCAGCCTTGACTTGGTCGGTTTGTAAACCCAGAGTTTCCACTTGAGAGGGAATAGCTCTGCAGTGCTTCATATGCTAGTAAAACAGAAAACAAATGTATAAACACACAAAGTCTGTACCGAAACACAAAGTCTGCACTGTCGATCTCTCGGCCACATCTGCTGTTCTTCAGGATCCCCCCATTCCCAACCACTGCACACTTCTTGAACTGGGAGCGGTGGTATGGCATGTCCTGCAACATCAGAGAATGCAGGTTAGTCACCTCCTGAAGCACGGAGCAAGAAAACTTTTTCTATTATTCCTCTTTTTTTTTTCTTTTTCTCTTTTGTTGCCCCTTTTTTGGGGGGGGGGGGGGGAGGTGCAGCTGCATCTTGATGCAAATGCACGCATCGTAGGAAGCTGACAACATTCCCACGGTGCACATAAACAGATGGAAACGTTATCTGTGCAATTAGAGGTGCTGTGAGAAACTAACTCAGAATGAAACACGCAGAGCTCTCTTTGCTCAGACTTAATAATGGAAGAAGTCATTTCAGTAACTCACTTTCCTTTCTGATTTGCACACAGGGGCATGAACCATAAACCTACGGCATGCAAGATGATGATGTCCTTTGGAGAAGTCTGCAGATCTCAGAGCAGATGGTGAAGCCCAGGAGGTCTCTCTAAACCAACACATTACAGCTATTTATCAAAACTGAGCCTAAATGTTAGTGCTTGCTACCACTAACTGTACCAATAGCATTAATTAATAATAATTAGCTTTTATAGCACTGCTGCTGTAGAAGTCAGAATGAGTGACAGTCCCATCTCAGAAAGCACAACAGGGCCATTAGGGTATGGTACCCAAAAAATATGTATAGATGCGTTTATGTAAGCACAAGAGTGCTCTTTTTTTCTTTTTTGTACATTCATATTTTATCAGTGATTTCATGCTGCAAACTACAGAGGGAGTGATAATGGTATAACATTTCTAGGTGATTATCTCCAGGATTTTTCCATACCATTCACTGCACTACCTTAAGCAGTATTCAGAAAGCCAACACACTAAAAGTGGTTAGACCTTCAAGGCCAACAGTAGTCACAGAATCCTGTGTACTTAAATTCAGTACTTTCTTCCCTTTATGAAAGGGACAAATTGCAGTTATCCCTTCCAAATGTCCCACGTTAAATTCAGGATCAGTCAGTAGTCACATAAGATGACTTCTGCACATCAGTACAAAGTTCAGAGGGATTGCCCACCAGTTACGTTTGCACTTTGGCCCTCAGGTCATGGGTTATTTGTTAGAAAGGTTTTGAATAATCTTCATGATGAGCATGTTTAAAAATATTGCAACCTATTGACAGATAAGCTACAACAGGGATAAAAAACAGTCATTGTGAATCTGAGTTATAAAATAAAGGAGCCCATTAAAAAGCAGGCCGATGGCAAATGCTGGATTTATTACATGCGAATATTGTACTTTAAAAGTAAGTTGGGTTTATGTTCTGAAGGAAAATGCTTAGACATTGCATGCTGGCCCAGATGAAAACAGGATAATCAATTGTAATGTTTATCACAAATAAACATACTCAGAGTATTCAAAAGTATAAGCAATGATGTCTGGACAAACGCTAAGCAGCTGTTTGCTTAGATTGGATATAAGGAAGAAGTGTTTTTTATAAGGGTGATGATTCAATGGAACTGACTGCTCCCGGAGATGCTGGACAGGGCTTTGAGCACCTGGCAGAGCTCTAGGTGTTCCTGTTCACTGCACGGAGTTGGACCTGATGGCCCTTAAGGGCTCCTTCCAATTGAAACGATTCTATGATTCTAAATGTGTCCTCAGCATAATATGTAATTAAGCAAGCAGAGTGAAGTTGGTTTAGTAGACGGACAGAGGCACCTTTGGAAACATTTTGAAGATTTCTTGGTTGATGTGGAAGATCCCACTAGTATCCACTTCGTACTTCAGCTTAGTTCCCAAGGGAGTGTTTTTCTGAGTGGTGAACAAGAAGGCAGGGGCATTGCAACACCTTGACAGTGAAGATCTGGAACATGAAAAAGAGAGAAATGAGATCTAGGAGGTGATAGTGTGTTTTAGGATTTGCAGTTACTATTATTGCTAACAAGACATTTTTTGAGGAAAAAAAACACCTCCTTTTAACAATATGGGGATAAAATGGTGGTTTTTCCTTCAGAAAATCAAAGGTAGAAATCCACAAGCAAACTGATCTGCTCTACATCCCCAAGCTGAGCTTATGCCACCTATATCCCATGGAAAACATCCTCATTAATTAATCCCTTTCTGTGTCAGAGGGCTACCATCTTTTGCAAATTATTCACTCATCACTGAACAGGAAATACAGGGGTTGAATTCTTCATCTAGGGATGAATAGCAGACAAATGTCCAACATTTTCTTTGTCACTAGTACAAAAGAGCAGATACTCCAAAGTAAACAAAAATGGCTTTGAAATCTCAAAAATGGGATTCATGTCATGGGAGAAAACCCAAGTTTAATATGAAATGTACGTAGGAAAAGTAGTTTTCCAAATAAAGGTCCATTCCCTGACGCTCCTCTCTTTTTCCTGGTGGAACTGAAAGCCCTGACTTAAACTCACTCCAGAGCCAGTTTGTTTCTGTCAATGCACCTTGTCCTTTTAATGAAAAATGCATGTAATGGTCAACACATAAATGTGAACTCAAGGCCAAATGGCCACATTAGGTACCTTGCCTCCAGGTAAGGACACCTCATTAGAAGCTGAAAGACAAAGTCATTTTGCTCTGTGGGTTTTATTATAAGAATTGGAAAAGAAATGCAGAATAATGCAAACATTTCAGTCATGTTCAGTTATTGTTATATACTTGGCTGAAGCAGAATGACATCATAGGACAATCAGAACAAGGCAGCAACTGAGACTGTATGAATCAACGAGTAATTCCAAATAATGAAATCATTAACTAATTAAATGCAGGTAGTCAAATTAAATTGTGATATCTGAGATATGAAAATGCTCTTCATTAGTTCTGCATTTCTTAAGGTAAATGTCTGACAGCTGATTGAGAATGACCATCCAGAAATTGCTTTCTTCAGTCTAGATTTTCATGCTTTGTTCTTCTGAACTGCTAAATATCTCCAAGGAATCTGTAAGATAAAAGGCTCTAATTGTGCCTAGCTCTTTTCTTGGTCATAATGGACTTTGATAACTGCCTATCAGATATTTTATAGAAAAAATATACAATAAAAACATATGTGTGGAGCTCACCTTAGAAAAAAATGCTAAAAGTCTATGACTAACAATTCTAAAAGATGTGACCAACTCAGCACATGTATTCTCACATTCTCTCACTAATTCATATCACCTTTTTCCTGTAATCATGGAAGAGAATTTGGGAGAAATTTGCAGGTCCTCATTCTAAATAACAGCTTTGAACCACACCAGTGACTTACAGAATTCTAGTCTATATTCTGCTTTGAAATCACAGAATCATAGAATCACAGAATCATAGAATCATAGAATGGCTGTGGTTAAAAGGGACTCCAAGGACCATCAAGTTCAAACCCCCTGCCACAGGCAGGGCCACCAACCTCCACATTTCATAGCAGCCCAGCCTGCCCAGGGCCCCATCCAACCTGGCCTTGAACACCTCCAGGGATGGACGGGGCATCACAGACTCTCTGGGCAGCTGTTCCAGCACCTCACCACTCTCACTGTGAAGAACTTCCCTCTGACATCTAATCTAAACCCTCCTCCCTTGAATTAAATAATGTGTTTTCTCTAGGTGCACTCAAACATGGCCCTTGAATGTATGAATACACAACGTTCAAGTATTTTTGGGCTTAATTCTACTATTGCCTTCACGAGATCAGTTTCAAAAACAGTGTCTTGAAATGCAATCCATACCGAATGTCTGGCAGTTTAAGAAGTTAAACTCAGACTAAAGTAATCTTGCACAGCCCCATCACTGTGGAGCATTCTTACTTGAATATGTTGGCTTCTGTGACATTCATCTCCCATTTGCACATCTGTAGGCTCTTCCACCTGTCAAATAATTCGGTTTGTTTCACCCTAAAAGATAAAAAGAAAGAAAAACAGAATTCACTTTATGACATGGGATTCGCTTCTTTCAATAGGACAAAGAAGTCAGTCTATTCAGGGGAAAACTTATCTTTTAAATTATTTTTTCCTCCTTAGATATAGCAACACTAAGCCTTGTATATACAAGTATTGGTGGAGCTCATCAGAGGTCTGAGAATTCTTCAAGGCTCATAGGCCTTAATGAGTTCTCTTCAGGTTTGAGGGCTTTGAATGTTCTAATAAAGCAAAGGCTTTTAAGATAATTATATATTTAAAGTGAGTAGCACTTAGGATTTCCCAGGCTGTGGAAGCCACAGGAAGGAACTAGATCATATCGTTCTTTCCGTAGTCCCCCCAGAGCACATTAACTTGGAAATCTTCCATTACCATATGGGCTGACTTAGGAAGCACAGCAGAAAGAAACACATCAGAAGAACAGAGCATAACAAAAGAGGTCAGTGTCAAATGGCTGTCACAGAGTAAGGCTGACTTGATCCCACTGAGCAGAACTAGAACTATCTTTTGTGTACCACTGGAAAAGATGAAACGTCTCTGTGCCATCTGATAAGTATGCAGAAAAGTGATTCAAAACTCACCATCTTCAGCAGAACATTGGCAGAAGTATCACATTCTCACCCCTTCCATTTATTTTTAAGCACTGCATGTCAGCAGGCAGTGCGAAGTTGCTACCCTTCTATCCTTCATCCAGTACCAAATGCAGAAGACAAGGACATAACCTACATTCTTTTGAGCACAAAGTCAGTGAGGGAGACATGCTCAAGATTCATACAGACCTGGAGCAGGAATCCAGTTCTGCAGCCTTGACTGCTTAAGGCTCTGCATTTGTACAGCTGCACTTCTAGCTGAGAATATCAGTTCACAGAATTGTGGATGACTACAGCATGGTTTTAGATATAGGAAGGGACTAGGCATAATGTGAGTACCTAAAGTCACTGTCAACTGAAAACGCAGAAGGTCAATACAGAAACTTTCCATTTTGCTTTGTGCAATCAGCTCCATGAGCAACCTGTATGTTTCGACTGACTCTATCTGCTTCCATGGATACATCCTGGAACCTGGTATTAGTTTCCTGGTATTTACGTAGGACCAGAGAAGACAAAATGCATCAGAATATATATATTTTTTTATCTTTCAGAACACACATTTCCATAATTTTTACTTTGTTACTACCAAAACTCACTGATGAAAGAAATTAAGGTAGTCAAAAGGAAAAATGGTCTCAAAAAAGATCTAAACAAATTATTAGGAAGGTCTACTGAGCTCTCTGACTGCTAGACACCACCTACCACTTAGAGTCACTATACCAGAATTTGCAATCTGGTAAAGCTAACTTTTTTGCCATGCTCCTTAGCCTTCACTTCTAGCCACTGCCAATGACGGAGCATGAGGCTAGACTCACTTCCATTACTTTGTCTATTCTTACTCTTCGCTTACCTTTAGTAAACCGGACAGAAATAGTATTGCAAACACTGTATTTAATCCCAAATTATGATACCAGGCCTGACTAAAATGTCTCAGTGTACTTAAAAGCCTTGATTTTTTTTCAAATGGACATCATACAGCATTCAGATGTCACTATTTACACATTAACACATAGGAGAATCTCAGCAAACTCTGGTGAGATCCCTAGTGACAGGATGTCCTGCACCTTACATCCCTGACAACTTTATCGTAAGTTACCATTTTCATCCTGTCTGGAAAGCAACCTCCTCAGCAAGAATTCACACTTACATAGACAAAACTTTCACTGCAATGATGTCCTGTCGCAATTCCAGGCATTTCGTGGAGTTGTATTCCAGTGGCCCTTCATAAAACTCGAAATACCTGAAGAAGAACAAAAACAAAGACTATAAGCCTGAGACTAGGTTACTTATCTTACATGTCAACTGAAATGTGCTTTGAGTTCTCATTTGTGATCTCTGACAACAACTGGCCCAAAGGCAGTTACTACTTCCAGCAGAACACAGATGTCATTGCTGACTGTAGAACAGCCACCCATCCCCAGCCCTTCAGAGATTCAAACACTAATTTGAGACGTTCAGCAGGGGGACTAGGCATAATGTGAGAACCACAATGAGGAGCACTCAGCAGTTTCCATTTAGCTAACTCAAACTAAATGGATAGTTTTTCAAACAGCATCCAATACAACTTGCTTAGGCGATAACAGCCTATGATGTCAGATCAGTTCATCTCTCCAGTAGGCACATCCAAGGTGGTGCATTTTCCAATGGGTAGCACATGACAGATGCCACTGAAGGTCAAGTGAAAAGTGCTGATCACTTATGGAACACTATTCCCATCTTTTGTCTGAACATTCTGAGAATTAAAAATAAACAGTTCCTTAAATTCTTAGCAAAGTGCTGGAGGTTTCACCTTGTCTGTTTAGAGTGTTGCATAGCTCAATGCAACTGAGCTTCTCCTCAAGTTTTACTTAATCTGTATATTCAGAGGAGAAGGGGAAACAGGATTTTCTTCTCAAAAAGTTTGAGATGTTTTTGAGAACAACAGAATTTGGATGTTCAGACACATGAGATCTGACACTTCTAATCCTAATTAAAATCTGACAAAAATATTTACTTTTTTGGTCACGTTCCTCCTCTTCAACCATCAGACTGAAAAAAACGGACAGAAAAAAGACAATGGCAGGAACTCAGTTATATGAGCCAGTGAAAGTCTAGGCTGGCCACTGAATTCTTTCAGACTGTACCAAAATTACAAAAATAATTTAGGGTTTAAGCCAAGCTCTGTGTCTCTTTTGCTCTATCACTGTAAGTCTGTGCTAAAACTCAGGAACTGCACATATCCATAAGACAGTACGATGAAGAAGTACAACTGGGTGACCTGGAGAAGGAGTAGTACAACAGAAGCTAGATGAAGCTATTCTGATGAATCCTTCAAAAGCTCAAATTCAAAACCCTGTAACTACAACATGTCCTCTGAATTTTCAGAAAGAAAAGTACTAGATTCCTGTAAGAGCTTTATTTTAGCCATAATTGGTAATGTAATATTTTGGCGTGGCGACATTTGAAAATTAAATCAAAGATCATGTCTGATCTGAACTTCTGTTCAGTTTCCTATATAAAACCCTTTGAGATGCTCCAGAGGGAACACAGAAGTAAGAAAACCTTATTTTAGTGGTTCACGTCTTTGGTTAGCAGCAAAATCTTGAGGGACCCAAATGTTGACCCCTTCTTGAGAAGAGCGCTAAGTACTGACACTGCCCAGTGGAACTGCTGGAAGAGAGCACGCCTGAAAAATATCTCCAGGAATCTCCATGACGTCCTCCTAATGCCAGAACTATCTCAAGGCATTCTGAATTTTTCCTTTTAAGTAAATCCAGAAATTGACTTGATAAAGCTAGGAAGAGAGGGAACCACAAAAGGGAGAAAAGGACTACGGTCTGCGACTGCAGAAAGCCCAAAGCTTTCCACAGAAACCTGCCACCAACTGTGGACATCTCTTAACTCGTCCAGAACTGCTTGAAGTGTGTCCTTCAACACAGGATTTTATCGCTTTGACTTTGCCCAGTCCCAAACCAACCACTGTGATTCAGTGAAGGACAGAATCCTTGAGACCAAGAGGAAGGATCGCATGCTGAGAAATGGCAGGAGTAGAACACCAAAAATTCTTAATAAGGAAGTAACTGAATACAGTCAAGAACTGTAGAATCATAGAATCACCAAGGTTAGAAAAGACCTCCAAGATCATCTAGTCCAACATTTCTCCACCAAATCAAGTCCCTCTGTACCACATTTACATGATTCTTGAACACTTCCAGGGAAAACTTAGAGGTGAAAGAAGCCTAATAATCTTTCAAAAATGTGACTATGCTGAAGTATGCTCATTTACTTTTCAAGGCAATAAACACATTTTTATAAGTTCTGCAGAAGAAATAATGAATTTGAAGTGTTGTATAACTAGTGATTAACCTGGGAAAAGACTTCTTCAGCCCCCAGTCATCAACACGACTGGTCTCCCACCAAAGCCCCTGGGCTCTCTTTCTGACTCAATTATCCACCTGGACATTCAGCCTTTAGTGAAGATCAGATAAAATCCATTGCACTGTTACGTATCCTGTGTGCTTGTGGAGCTGGAGCTGAGCAACTTGTCTATTAGGAAAGTTGCTCCAGCTGAAACTAGTTGAAGAACTCATCTGGTCGAGCAAGGTCAGAGCTTGATGTACTCCAGATAAGTTCCCAAAGCTGCCTTCATAAGACTTCCGCTCAGATGTGAAACAGCAAGTAATCACATGGGAAAGCTGGCTGCAATCCACAGCATAGCAGACAAAGATATCATTTTATGAAAAAGGTTAAATTTCCTGCATTCTAGAAACTCTATTTGGTCACTGCTTGTTTTTCTAGTCCACAAAAAAAAAAAAAAAAAAAGAGAGAGAGAAGGATGTGCTACTGACGGACAGAAGAACAAAGAGGAAAGGGCTGCACAAAAAATAAACCAATTTTGGTTCTTCAAGGAAGCTCATGAAGCAGCAATGCATTTGTAATAGTTGTAACAGTGTAACTACAGGCCGGTGAGCCTCACCTCTGTGGGAATATCATGGAGCAGATCCTAGAAGCTATGTGAAGGCACATACAAGATGAAGACGAGATTCAAGACAGCCAGCATGGCTTCACCAAAGGCAGATTGTGCCTGACCAACCTGGTGGCCTTCCATGATAGAGTGACAGCTTCAGTGGATGGGGGAAGGGCAATGAATGTCATCTATCTGGACTTCTGCAAAGCCTTTCACATGGTCCCTCACCATGGAGAGGTGTGGATTTGAAGGACGGACTGTTTGATGGATTAGAAATTGGCTGGATGCAGCCAAAGGGTTGTGACCAATGGTCCTGTGTGCAGGACTGGGTCCGGGGTGCAGGCCGGTCACAAGTGGTGTCCCTCAGGGGTCGGTCTTGGGACCGGTGCTCTTCAACATCTTCATCAGTGACACAGATGATGGCATCAAGTGCAGCCTCAGCAAGTTTGCGAATGACACCAAGCTGAGCGGTGCAGTTGATACATTGGAAGGAAGGGAAACCATCCAGAGGGAGCCTGGAGAAGTGGGCCATGTGAACCTAAAGAGGTTCAACAAGGGCAAGTGTAAGGTGCTGAAGTTGGGTTGGGGCAGGTATTTATTTATATTCCAGGTATTTACACAACTGGGGGAAGATCTCCTTGAGAGCAGCCCTGTGGAGAAGGAACTTGGGAGTCCTGCTGGGTGAGAAGCTGCACATGAGCCAGCAGTGTGTGCCTGCAGCCCCGAAGGCCAGCTGTGTTCTGGGCTGCATTAAAAAAGGGGTGGCCAGCAGGAAGAGGGAGGGGATCGTCCCCCTCGACTCAGCTCTTGTGAGGCTCCCATCTGCAGTACTGCGTCTGAGACCCCCAGTACAGGAAGGACGTGGAGCTCTTGGAGCGGGTCCAGAGGAGGGCACTGAGATGATCAGAAGGCTGGAGCAGCTCTCCTATGAGGAAAGGTTGAGGGAACTGGGCTTGTTTAGCCTGGGGAAGAGAAGGCTCCATGGAGACCTCACTGTTGCCTTCCAGTACATGAAGGAAGAGTATAAACAGGAGGGGGAACGGCTGTTTGTGAGGGTGGATGGTGGTAGGACAAGGGGGAATGGTCTCAAACTGAGACAGGGGAGGTTCAGGTTAGATATTAGGAGGAAGTTTTTCACTCAGAGGGTGGTGAGGCACTGGAACAGGTTGCCCAAGGAGGCTGTGGATGCCCCATCCCTGCAGGCATTCAAGGCCAGGCTGGATGTGGTTCTGGGCAGCCTGGTCTGCTGGTTGGTGACCCTGCATAGAGCAGGGGGTTGAAACTGGATGATCTTTGTGGTCCTTTTCAATCCAAGCAGTTCTATGATTCTATGATTCTGTGATTTCACCAGCCTACAGCTCAGAAAAGCACAGGGCTGTCCTGTCAGCTACTTCTCCCAGTACGTCATCTTTTCCAGTTTCCAGCAGTCACTGGGAGTGTCAAATTCATGGTTTGAAAATCAGGCTGCAAATGCTGATGATGCTACAAAACAATTCTTTCAAGGATCAAATCCTGTTTCTTAACACCAAAAGCACTGGGAGATAACTCTTTCTAAGTCCCTTGATACTGAATGCCCAGAAACGAGATGCTGCTTGCTCTGACATTCTCCCACTTGCCTAAACAAGGCTTTCTTCTTTCCTAAACTTCATGTCTCTCACTGCCACCTCACTTACAATTGAGCAGCTCATTGAGCTGGCAAGTGAGAGGCAGAAGTGACTCCCAAGCACATCAGCTCATGCTTAGGTCTTTGGTCATCTGCAGCCGGGCTGCTCCAGCTTTGATTGGAAGTCAGCTTTGTTTGATAGTGCTGCATGAATTAAGCCTGAGACATGTCTTCAAGTGACTCTTGGATCAAGGCATGGATTCTTCTGATAAATTGCACAAAGGTTTTAAAATATAATTGAATGTCACTGTCGAGCATGTTTTAAATAAGACCATTTTCTCCTGCAAAAACCTCCTTCCCATTTCGCTTGTTCCTGCAGGGATGGTTCTGCACTGCTCATGATGAGGCTGCAAGAGAGCATAGCAACATGTGAAAGTTTGGACCTGTCTCTGCAGGAAAGATCTTTCCAAAAATAAATGTTGTTCAGAGACTAAGAAATGAGAGCAAATACATGAAGATCTGTAAGTTTCTATTAAAGATTCTATTTAGATTCTACTTAAATTCTATTAAAATTCTGTTATTAAGAGAAATGTCCAATCTGCAGTGTCTGCACTGATCAGATGGGCAGATCTATATCTAACTCAAGTCTAGACTCACCTTGCCCATTCAAGAATCTTACAAGCTAGACAGAGCTTAACTCCAGAAGCATATGGGGACTTGCATTCATTCAGCTGGGCTAGCACAGATCCTCAAACCTTTTCTGCAAAACAATGGATCAGGTGGAGTGCACCACAGCTACAGGGGCTCTGGGAAAATCCACACAGTGCAAAGTAGGTGCTGACTGTAACAGAGAACTTATTGCGAGTGAGGGACCAAACCTTGCCAGACTTTACCTCCATTACTAATTCTATGTGACTCACCCAGTTCAGCTCTTTTGCAACAGCTGTGGGTGGAGCAGCTGTATAATGCATCACCTTCAGTACAATTTATTGGAGAGCATATCAGATTGGAATTTTGGAGGAAACTTCATTGTTTCTTTCCTTTCTTTATCACAATATCAAAACGTCAGCACCTGACAAGCAGTTGGATATGCCAGGGAGCTCTCTTTTAGCAATGCCAGTTCTGAACTCTCCAATTTTTTAATAAACTGCTGTTAGGCTGTTTTAATCAATCCTATTCCTATCACTTTGACTGAAACAAGCCACTGATGGTGTTAGCCATAGGGCCTTCTGCGAGGCATAACAAAGCACAAGTCAACACTTATACATCAATAACATATCAAAAAACTCATTTTAGGTTATGGTTTTAAGCAATGCATTTTTTTCCCCCTTTCTAGTTCTCAAGATTCTAGTATCTTTGAGTTCAGTACTGTGAATTAAGGGATCTCCTCAACTGCTCTGCTGGTCCGTGAGGTCTCACGGCTCACACTCATCTTGTAAGATGTGTATTTGATGAATTCAGCTGACTGCACTTTCTGTTTTGCAGCCATTGAGGACAAAGTTTCATATTTGCCATGATGGAAAATTCAGTGTATAAACCTCTGGGCCCCAAACCATACAGCTCACCTCCTCCTTCACCCATCAGCGACTTCTGAGATCTCACTACCTATTGACCACATCTTCAGCTCAGGTAGACTGAAGGTGGCAGAGATCACATAATGCATCCAGTGGGACAGGAGGACCATCAGACCATTAAGGCAGCTTGATCTTAGCAACAAGTCCTTTAAGTTTGAAGGTTCACAGTACCATTAAGTTGAACAATATATTTGCGTTGGATGTTAGGAATAATTTCTTCCCAGAAAGAACAGTGATGCATCAGCATGATCTGCCCAGTGAAGTGGTGGTGTCTCCATCACTGGAGGTGTTCAGGAACCATGGAGTTGCAGCACTTGGGGACATTGTCAGTGGCCATGGTGAGGTTGGTCTTGGGCTTGGGGATCTTATCAGTCTTTTCCAACCTTAATGATTCTGTGATTCTACGTGTTTTTCTAGATCTGCAGCAATGTCACATGCATGGAAACGAACCTTCTGGTGCTCAGAAAGTCCCAGCAAACACATAACTCTGTAGGAAATCTACACACAGCAGTATCAGCTAACACAAAAGGATTCACATTCACTGCACCACACACTAACCCAAATTCATGGCATCATTTTTTATCTCCTGGGAATGGTTCTATGCAGGCCAAAGAAGTGTCTAAATCTTCTGGGATGAAAAGCCTCATTGGTTACCTCGGTTACTGTGGGACAGTAGAGCTGCCAGCAACTGAAGTAGGGCTCATTTTGGAATTCCAACTGCAAGCTACACTTAACTTCGTACTTTAGTTAATGTCTGAATCAGAGTTCCTACTCAAATCAGACAGCATGATGTTCTTCACTTTTGTGCTATTTTACCCTTCTTGAGCAGTCTTCACTATTCATTGGTTTTGGCATGGCCCCCACTCTTATGAAGTCTGTTTGTCTTGAAATTCTTGCAAAAATGAAATTATTTGCTCAGTATGCCTTTTGCTTTGGAATTTCTTTATTTGCAACTAATAAATCCCTTGCAAAATGAGTAATGAGTTATTAATGTCTCAGCACTGTACATTAAATTACATCAGTAAAAGACAATGAGTAGCTATAAAACACAAATGGATCAATACCAGGCATGTATGAATAAACATGTATCTATATGCATGAAATACAGGAATGACAGGAGCCAACTGAAGTAACATCTATTTCAGTTACTACTTTTAAACACTAAACCTTCTACAAAGAAGGAGGGAATAACACACAGTGAAATGCAGAGCCATGCAGTGAGAGGTATACAGTGAGCATGCTGACACATAATTAGTGTTGTACTCTTTAGACATCTCTCTGGAGATGCATAAATACACACAAGTAAAATCAGGCAGGGAAAATTCATTCTGCAAGTTTTCTTTCTGATAGAAAGAATTATTCATTAGAGGAAGGCTTGCTTTCAGATGATACCAACAGTCTGATGTTGGGTGTTATGCTGGGCCTCTCAGGAGATGTCTAGTGGTAACTCAGCAGGAAAGGTGATCAAAGGTAAACAGCAAACAGCTGATGACACAACTCTGCAGTTATTCACCATGCAGCCTCACCTCCGTATCTACATAGCTCTATTTTACTTTTCTGCATACTTCACTCTCAGACAGTAGACAAATGGACAATGTCTGTCATGCATTTATGCACAATGCATGTCACAGCCAGACCTGTCCCCAACCTGAAACCCCATCTTTCATCTCCACGCTTATTAACAGACTGACTTTGAAATCTGCTTATGTCTATCGACATTAACTGCATAGAGAATCACAGAATCATAAAACCATTTGAGTTGGAAAAGACCTTTAAAGGCCAGCTGGTCCAACCCCCCTGCAACGCACAGGGAAATTTGTACCTAACTCATGTAATTAGATACTATTTGTATAAAAAAACACTCTTCTCCTGAACCTCCTCCTTGTTGAAGGGGCTAAACAGATTGAGAATGGCACTGTTGTTCAGTGTCATCCAATATCATACGCATTTTGCAGTCAAAGGTTTCTCCATCCCACAGGCAGTGATGGTTCAATTGTTCCTGCCAAGGGCACTTACAAGAGGAAATCTATATTAATTCTATTCTATCTCCAGGAAGACATCTGTCTTTGTGCCACATTCAGTTTTCTTTTATGCCAAGTGCCCTGATCAAAGACTTTGAACATACAGACTGTAGATGCACTCACTAAAAACGCAAAAAAAAAAAAAAGGTATAGACGGGCAGATGGATCCATACATAAAAACAGAAAGAATGAACCATTCTTCTCTGGTTCTGAGCTAAATGCTGCTGAGAGGCCGTCTCTTTCCACAACGCTTCCTTAATGAGTGGCAGCAGCAGGGATACAGATCCCGTTACATGAAAGAGCCATACAGGAACTGCAGACCGCTGTGATTTGGTGAGATGGGTGATTTTTGGCAGCTCATGTGCAGTACTTCCTCTGGCTGTTGAAATGCTATCAGCTGCACAGCTGCAGTAGAGAGTGGCTACCAAAATACACTGTGATGGCATTTCACACACAACACCTAATTTAGGCAGGGAGAGCTTTATTAATGCAAGCTTCTTGTAATTATTTTTCTTTTCTTTAACTTACAGTGTTTCTAAAGTTTCCCTGCTATTTATTCAACTCAGTACTATACAAGATTCAGGTTATTTAATTTCCTTCAAGTCCATAGGAACTGGGAGGACTATGCAGTGAAAGGTCCTTTCTAAACCACCCACAGCAAGGTTTCACCACAGTGAACCCATCCTCAGCTCAGATGGACTCTCGATAGCAGAGGGCATCATAACCCAACCAATGGCCCAGATGTATCATCATACATTTGTTATTAAATACATGACTGTAAATGCACATTGTGCACTGAACATACAGAGCTTTGCTCCTTGAGGTAAAAGTGCAGGAGTTTGTCCTGTACAAAAGATGAAAACCAGGCAGCCTTCCTTTATAGGAAAGGGCCCTTTCCTATGATTGATATTCTAGGAACTCGTCCCACATATCAGCCCCATACCTGCATCAAATTTTGCACACAGTGATAGCCATAGAGCTCCCTGTGACAGCTGCACTGTCTTACCAATGCACATGGCCTTTCATGGCCTTTTATATGCAGATCAGTCTGAAGAATCCTACTATAAATTAATAAAAGTGCAACAGCGAACAGTGCATCAGCACTTCTTAAATCATCTTCAGAATACTAAACATAAAGGAAATATTCTGGTCTTGCTTTGACAGACCATTTTTCCACTATGAGGCACTGGACTGATTTCAAGTTAAACTATGTTTCTTAGAATGAGCATTCTACCATAAAGAAAAGCCCTTCCCAATCAAGTACACTTTCCCATACTTCCCTGTATATTTACAAATGGCCATGGTGGAGAAATAGGAAAAGGAAAGGCCAGGACACAGATGTCACCATCCTGCTCATCTTAAGGGTGTTTATGGCATATTCTAAATGGCCCCAAAACCTGGGTGGGCCAGCACAGCATCCCCAGAATCTTCTGTGATGTGTGAACAGCATCCGGCGGACAAATCAAACTGTTCATATAGCCTGTGCTCACACTTGTTCATACACAGAGCAAGAGATGTCTGCAGTCATCCCCTCCAGTGCCAGTACCTGGTGCCTGTGTCACTGCCACTCTTCACTGCTCCGTCATCCGTGAAATTAAAGGTGCCGGTCCAATTGGCCAATTCCTCTCCATTCTGCCAGCTAAACTGCAGCCCTCTAGCAAGAAAACGAGGCAGTTGGTATTTGATACCATTCATTAGGTTAAGTCTATCAGCACAAGTTCTCACGTCCTTTTTCTTAAGACAGAAATGTGACTAAGAACACAAACATTGTCAAAAACAACAAAAAGATATCAAGAGCCACAATGCATTACCTTAGCAGTGCAAACCATTAATTTTCACTTCCAATGGACTCTACAAGCCCTTTTCTGAAAGCACCACCAGTCACCCCAACCAAGCAAAATGGAGGGCCAGTGCTCAGAACCACATACGGATGCATGAAGCATAGTGGAAATTTCAGTCCCAGAGTACAAAAAGCTGTGGACCGATGTGGAAAACTCTAGGGTCAAAGAAATAAACCCTCCAAGCTTCAATTTCACATCTACTGTAGCTGTTACACGTGGTGGGAGTTGGGTTCCTCCTCTAGCTTCTTCTAGCCATGCCACCAGAGAATTTATCATTGTCTGCAGTAGTTGATGACTTCTCTAAGTCACACCATATTGCTGCTTCCCCCTTTTTGGGAAGAGGATATGTTTTAAGCAAATGCAAATGATCACAACCATCACAACTCCCCACTTTCCAAACTTTCACAAATTCACTGCATATCCCAGGGTGCCTGCATTCCTCAGATTTCAGCAGGAGTTGGAACTGGATGGGCTTTAAGATTCCTCCTAAACTAACCATTATGGGATTCTGTGACTGTGAATAATCTATTCTGTAATCCTGGGAACCCCACCTAAAGTAGAAATCTAATGCATATTTTAAAAAGTTGGATCTGAAGAAACATTTGACAACACTAGTCAAATCCTTCCAATCGCTCAGAAGACAACGAATTGTTATTTTTAATCTTCTCCATTTTAACACAACATTAACAAAATGATTTCAGAGGGCTGGCAGCTGCACTATGAACATTTGGTGCTGCCAGTACTGCAAGCTAACTTCCTGGCAGGGCTGTGCAGGAAGCAATCTGACAGCCTGCTTTGCCCAAAAGAAAGGGCATCCAGGACCCCACTGGGTCCACAGGTAGTCACAAGGACTCTCAGATCCCATCCATCCTCCAGTCTGACTGGCAGCAGTTAGCAGCCCTGGAAGATAAAGACAGACAAGAGGCATTAAAAAAGGAATTCTGAAGGAGGTAGGGAGTGGTCTGAGCTGAAGACAGAGACGGCATCCCGTCCACTTGTAAAAGCACATCCAACAGTGCGTGGGTTATACCATAATGCCAACAGGTAAAGCAGTGCTAAATCAGAGAGTCCTACGCCTCTGACATTGCTCTTAGCTTTAACCAGCTGAGGTTGCCCCAGGAGATGATTTCTACAAAGAGGATGGTGTGAAGAAAAAAAAAAAATCCATGAGAAAATTCTCACTTTTACAAAGACACCTTCACTTCAGGCTTGCTGAAATAACACTCATGATGCACCACAGTCTAACACATTATGACACTCACGACTCCTTTGGAGAAGTGTTTCATTTCAATGTAAATGTCCTTAAAAAAGACAATTTAAGCCCTTAAAAATCTGCCCCTAAAGCAAAATATATGACGAAATCACTCTCCAATCCCTTCTCTCATTGGGACTTTTTGGAAACACTGTGTCCTGCAGCTGAGGAAGTTTACAAGAGGACACATATCTTGAGTAAGATCCAGCAGGAGATCAGGAAGATTAACACTGAGGAATGGTAGATATGTCTTGTGAAGAGCAGCTTAAAATACTTAGCTTTGAAATGGTAGAATGGGATCTAACTGAAGCACAGAAATACCCAACGAGGGCAGAGGGTCTGGGTACGTTGTTTCTTCCTCTAGATGGTAAGGACACAACCCGAGGTGGTGAGCTGAAATTGGGATCAGGAGCAAGCCAAGTGTCTGACCTTGAGCAAGACAAGAGCAATGGACACAGTGCTTTTCTCTAACAGGTTCTATAGAGCTTGACACCATAAGAGCTTACTTATACAACCACAGCTCATAGGACTGTGTCTCACTGCAAGCCTGAGATTAAGGTAAAGTATGGCATTTTCTGGAGTGATGATAAACCTATTTCTGCTAGTAAGAAAAGCTTTCACAAACAATGACTTGGAGTATTAAGACTGAGCAGGATGAGACATTTAATAACACTGACCTGAATTAATTCTGTTCCTAACAAGATTACTGCAAGTTTTACCCTTGATTTCAATCAGCCTTGAGCCAGGAGATTGCAATTTTGAAAGTGTATTATTTTCTGATCCTCTATTTGTGAATTTTAAGGGCTAATAACTCTTGTCCAGATCTGCAAACAGACTGAGAAAACATCAGAGTGACGGACTGCTCCAAGAGTATATTCTGTCAGCTAAACTCACTCTCAAAACTAGCTACACCTCAACAGGTAGACAAAGAAGGGGTAAGCTGAACTTTTTTGAGTCAGAATTGCAATAGGAAAGCACATGCAGGATGAAAACATAGAAAAGGCAGATAAAAAATAAGCAGGACAAAAAAAGAGGGTAAAAGAAGATTAAAAGAGAGGAAAGCAGAGGAAATTATGTAGAGGTTTCCTTTGTATTTTAACAGTGTCAAAGATTAAAAAAAAAAAAAAGAGAGCCAGGGATAATCCGCAGTGATTACCATTGTGGAGCTACCCTCTGTTCAGTGTGCCTTCATGTTATTTCCTTCTAAAATTAGCACATTTCCCTAACAGGTGAGGCTGATGATGACAAGTGAAGACCTTATAAATGATGTAATGACCACAAACAGTGATAGTGTCCAGTGTAAATTTCTTATCAAGCAAGTTCTGCAGTGGCCAGATTGAGTGCTAGTTGATGGACATCGTTAACCACAGGACATGCCCCTAAGATATGTGAGAATGAGCAGTCTAGACCTGGTGATGAACAAATCCAAGCTGGAACTCTTGGCAACACAGACCTTGAATTTCAGGTAAATGTCGAAGCAACAGTTTGATCCTAATTGTTAACTGCAAATGTTGAATCAGTATGTGGTCAAATAAATGCTGCTGTAATGTAAGAACAGAGGGAGAGGGTGAAGAAGAGCAGGAAAATTAACGGAGCAGTGGTAATTGTGAAGGGCTGTCAAGACCAGCTGTGGAAGCAGCAGGGAGCAAAGCACAAACCCACTGCTATCATCCAAACAAGAAACAGCTCCTGCACAGCAGATGTTTGGAGATTAGAGCAATGGTTTCCCCATAATCCTTGTGCCTTTGAGAGGAGGAATTGAAGACTGTGGTGTTAAATGACCATGCTGCTCTCTTTGAAAATGGAAAGTGATCCCCCCAGACTAGTAACAGGGATGTCAGAGGGGTACAGCAGAGTCAGATGGTTAATCACCTTGAGATCCAGTCCCTCCTTTCCTGCAAAATAGGGAAAATGTGACTCACAATGTCCACAGGGCGGACGGAAAATAAAACCAGTGGTATGCACAAACAACCTGCAGATTAGGGTGACTGAAAACAGTCACTGAAATGAATCAGGCCTAGATTTGGTCACTGAAGACAATTACATTAGATGGCAGCAAGTGAAAGCAAAGTCTTATTTCAGTGGTCTATTAAAAGCCACATCTGCATTCAGTGAAAATAGATTGGAATCTGACTCGTCAAGCTTAGAGAATTTCTTATTTCTCCAGTAAAATCAGGGAAAAAATACTCATATTTGTTCTCACCATGTTAGCAGAGAGCAATATGAAATAATATGAATAACGTGGAATAATACAGACCCCATGATCCCATATCCACTTGGTTACATCAACTGGCCCATACTGTGCTGTGTGAAAGACAAGCCTGGCTTTACATGTTGGATGGAAGCACTCGTTATAGAGTGGTGGAGGAGTATATTTTGACTAGCACAAAGAGCAAAATTGGAAACATAGGTGGGAAGCTTCTGGATTATAACTGCTATTATACAGGCAAAAAAAAAAAAAAAGTTTTGTTTCATATAGCACATATCACTTCTTGGATAAATTTTACATCAGATATTCACAGGCGACTTCTCAAAAATCTGATTAAAAATTACTTCCCAAGAAAGATGAAAGAAGTTAAACATTCCTTTTCTATAGCTGGAAGATACACATCCAAGGAGTAACACAAAATAAGTGCTTTGTTACAAGTGTTCAAAATTAAAATATCATTTGTAATCATTAGGGGAAGCACAACACCCATCACAGAGTGAGTTGACAGTGACGCAGTGAATTCATCAAGGGAAAAGACTGATCAAGTCCCAAGCTCAGACTGCAACATGAAATCATAAATACTGTAAGATGGCAACAAACTATGATATTGGAGGCTAGAGCTCAGTGCAAGGATACCTGACACAGCATGGGTGCCAAAAGAAATCTCACCACAGTGTGAGAGATCTGACTGAGCTAATTACTATGCATCTCATGTTTCCGAGGCTAATATATTTAGTACCAGGTCAAGTGTTCCTACACAGTGCTATATTCTCCAATGTAAACATACCCCCAGAGCTCAACTGTACTGAAGACAGGGGTGGAACATGACAAGCAACACTGTTAAAGTCAGTGTTTGTACTGTATTACAGCCTCATTAGTAGGCCATACTCTTCCTGTGTGTACAAGCAGCAGGACTCATCCTACAGAATCACAAACATTGGATAAGACTTCCATATCCCCAAGATCAACCCTAACCCACCCCCGCCATGCCCAGTGACCATGTCCCCAGCTGCCACTTCTACAAGTTTCTTGAACAACTCCACGGATGAGGATTCCCATTTGTGCAAGCCTTCCTTGCTGCTGACTGGCCAAAATTTTCATCTGGCTGAGCTCTGGCTGCATTTTTCTTATGGGAAGTGCCAAAAAACTACTAATGATGGAGCTTGCTTTTAGGGTTTTCATCACAGGAACTAAAGCATAAAGCTAACTAGCTGAAGAGGACATGCAAGGACAGTGACTACTTGCAAGGCCAATGGGAATGCAAAATGGATGCGAGCAGTGGAGGGCAAAGATATCTCAAGGAAATGAGAGGTTAAGTCAACAATTTGCCTGAGGGAGGCACGGACTGCTGA